TCAGCCTCGACGGAGAGCCACCGTAGCGCGGATCCCCAATCGTGCCTGAAGCCACCTCCGCCGCGAAGCTCGTCACCGGTGACTCCGTCGATGTCGGCGACCATGGCGGGTACCCATGAGTTCGTCTCGACCTCCTGAGCACACCCATGTGCTCAGATCACCGAGAGACGCCTCCGTTCGCCGGCAATCCTCGCCGGAGCTCTGCCTCTGTTCGGTCGGAGCAGGCGACGCGTGCGTGGGCTGGTCAAACCTGACCAGTGGGCTAGGCGGGTCCACTGTCAGTGACCCAGTGCCGGTCCACGCAGGCATAAGTGGAAACGTAATTCCAAAGTACGTGTTCGACGTGTACATTTCGAAACGTTTTCTTTTTCTGTTTTATTTAAAAAACAAATTTTCACCACAACTTTGACTGCCTATAACTTTTTACTTATAACTCCAAATGAATTGATTCTTTTTCCTACCTCGCTTAAATTTAATCTAGTTTATTTTAAGATTTATTTCAAAAAAATTCAAACAACTTTTTTGTGCTGTCTTGAAATTGTGTGTTGATTCAAATTTATTTAAAATAGGACCTTGGAGAGAGAGAAGCAAGCTTTCAAAAGTTTTGGAGTGCACCCTGCCTTTCCACACCTTGAAGGCAAGCATTCTGAACCCTCGCATAATATTTTGCATGCATTGTTTGACACGATCATGACACCACCTCAATACGTAGAACTCGTTATTTTATGTGGTGATATGATCATTTGCATGAATGCTTATTGGAAATTTCCTTGCTGTTGGAAATGGACATGCTTGTGATAATGATCATCCCCGTATGGCTTTCGTGCCTACCGGAAGGAAAACGGGAAAGTCTCTGTCTTGGGTAGACCCGAGCTTGTCCCTAGTTCCTCGTCGAGACGAGTGTGTCCGGCATGGCATGAGGGGTATGATGAGTGGTGATTCTGTCTGTTGGATGAAATATATTCGTTATGCTAATCATGCAGGGAATACTTAAACCTCCTGAGTCGACCATAGATCGAGTCTTGTTCCAGTAAACCCCATACTTGTTTCGTACTACCACTCGTCTCTACAACAAGTAGGGTACGGTTCAGTAAGTCGTCAACCCCTTTCTAGCACACACCGTACAGAGAGGCCATGGTGGAAGATACCGGTTGTAGCTGGTAGGCAGGTCACCTGGTCCGGGGGCATGGGTGTTTCCAGTTGAGACCGAGAGGGGAGGCCACCCCTTAGAGCGTGCGATATAAATTTGATCCCATGCTACTTAGAGTTTTGCTTGACAGGTGTCGTGGGTGATTCCAGACACCTATGAGTTAAGCTGGTATGTGTAGGTCAGGTGTGTTTTCAACTAAAAGGCCGTAGACGGAATTAGTCCCGATAGACTAAAGGAATCCGTTACTCGTGGGTAAAGAGTACACCCTCTGCAGAGATTAAACCTATTCGAATAGCCGTGTCCATGGTTAAGGATTACAGTCTGGGATGGGTCAAGGGTTGGTCTTAGTGTCGGTCTTCGGAGGAGAAAACTGCTAAACCAGAACATGGATCGTGACTTGTGACTTATGATGATTATGATTATTATTATTATGGACTAACCCCTTTATATTATTTGAAGTATTGAGTATCCCTGGGACGGTTTTACCTCCTGGATATTCACTATGATTGTCTACTTTATAAGCCCTTTCTGTGGTGTCGCTCAGATGCCCGACTGTGGTATGCTGTTATTTATTTACTTTATAAGCCCTTTATGTGGTGTCGCTCAGACGCCCGACTATGGCATGTTGTTATTTACTTTCTTTATAAGCCCTTCATGTGGTGTCGCTCAGACACCCGACTGTGGCATGTTGTTATTTATTTTCTTTATAAGTCCTTTATGTGGTGTTGCTCAGACGCCCGACTGTGGCATGCTGTTATTTATTTTCTTTATAAGCCCTTTATGTGGTGTCGCTCAGACGCCCGACTGAGGCACGCTCGTTATTTACTATCCTTTCGAGGCGTCGCTTCATACACCCGACCGGTGCATTTTATTACTATTCTGCTATTACATATTCATGTTGCATATAAATAACCTGCTTGCATGCATCATGGATTCCATTTTATGACTGATGTTGTGATCATAGAATATTTTCAGAGCATGATTATCAGTTGTTATATTATACCTGTGTTCATAATGATTGCGAGTACATTCAAAGTACTCACTGACTTGTCCCTGGCTATTGTCTTGGCCAGATTTCTTGCGCGGAGAGGAGCGACCGTGATGACAGCCCCGGAACCTACGCAATGCTGATAGCAGCCTCGCGAAGATAGGAGTTAACCTGGTCAGCTGTTCCTGTGGGAAATGGAGTCCCATAGACGTTGATGATCCACAAACCGCTTCCGCCATCAACCACTAGAAACCAATTTGTTGTACTCACAGGCCAGAATGGTCTTGTACTACATATTTTGCATTTTGCTTGGAATTTCTGTATCAAGTTGGTGCCTCATCAGCTAACAGTAATCCTGGGGCTGGTGAGCACAGGGGCCATTTTCTAGAAATTAATACCCGGAAAACCGGTCGTCACACACTTGATCCCACTCGGTACATCTTCTGTGCTTTGTGTGTTGATCAACTTGAATCACTCTTGTACTTAGTCTTGATCAACCTTGAATCTTTCCAACTCCCTTCATTAGGATGATGTCTTGAAGGTAAACATGAATGTTCACACAATCTTTTTCTTCAAGACATGCTTGCAATAGGCTCAACTCTCACATGGACAACCCAATCTTTGGATAATTCCTTGAAAAACACCTTGGCCAACACATAAACTCCTTGAAACAAACAAATGGACTTCAAGAAAAGCCTATAAACAAATCCTACGAATATAACTCAAGGCAACCATTAGTCATAGGGAATGTTATTAATTACCAAAACCACACATATGGGCACCACATGTTCTTTCAACGGCTCCCGGGTCTATCTTTATCATATTCGCTTTCCGATCTATCATTTGCCATATTTATTTTCAGATCTATATATCCAAAAACCTAAAAGTACCTTGCTGCATTTTTTATTTGCATCTTTTATTTCGCGTTTTATCGAGATCTATTTATCCAAACTTATACAAAACAATTTATTTTTTTTACTTAGAGGGATTGACAACCCCTCTTACTCGTCGGGTTGCAAGTATTTGTTCTTTGTGTGCAGGTACCGTTTATATAGTGTTGCTTGGTTCTCCTACTGGATTGATACCTTGATTTCACAACTGAGGGAAATATCTACCGTAGCTGTACTGCATCATCCCTTTCTCTTTGGGGAAATACCGACGCAGTTTCAAGCTGCATCACGGTTTTGCCACCTGCTCGGTGGGGACCTTGCCAAGATCGATGAGGAGTGGTCGCTCAATTAGACCTCTGTGACCGTTGGTAGGGGCAAGTCCGTTGTCAAGGTACCGTGTCCGGGGTCGGCATTGGCTGCGGCAGCCGTCCGCACGACGTAGGAGGAAGGGAAACGGTTCTCCGCGGGCGCCAGACGGCGGCGGGGTAAGGCTGGCACGCCCATTCGCCGCTGGAAGGACTACTCCAGCGACAACGGTACGGATAGTGACGGCGATGCGTCCGGCCACGCGTACGAGGGCACCATCCGTTACAAGTTAGTCTCTTATTTTTTAAGCTTGTAGTTTAAGAAACGAAATATCATTCGTTTTATGTAAATTATGTCCCGACATTAGTGAATTCCATCATGATTGAAAATTTGTTCGATTTATTCAAATTTGTTTTGAAATGGATGCGAGCATAGTTGGGTGGCCGACTCCCATGTTAATGTCCGCGGACTGGTCCGAACTAATCCACGAATGAATACCGTGTTTGTTATAGGTCTGCGTTAGAGACGCCCTTACGGTGCTTGCATCTCGTGGATGCTACATTAAAAATGTGCTTTCTCCAAAAATAATACTCCTAATCAGTGTCGTAATAAACTGAAAATACGAAGTGGTTGTGCAGTACAATATACTACGCACATATAAAGATAATTTCACAGCCGTACCTTCTGCCTGCTAGTACTCTCTCCGTTTTTATTTAGCCCATGTATTAGGTTTGGTCAAAGTCAAGCTTTATAAACTTTAACAAAAATATAAACATATACATTAAGAAATCAATATCATTAGATTAATTATTGAGTGTACGTTCACATCATATAAGTTTGTTATGATAAATGTTTATTTATTTTTTTATAAACAGGATCGAACTTTATGAAGTTTGACTTCAATCAAACCTAATATACAGAGTAAATAAAATCAGAGGAAGTATATATATATATATAGATAAAGAAGCTAAATTATGATACGTTGTTCCATCACATGAGAGGTGACAAGTCAGGACATCATAACGGCGTTGGCGTGGGCATCTCTGCTGTCTGGTTTTTGCCCCTCTCTTGGGTTGCTACGGGAACACCAAACGTCTCAGTAGTGGAGGCCAGTCCAGTCCCGTCCAGGTGAATGAATCCCCACTATTCTTCTCCGCCTCCGTTTCTCCACGCCCTTCTCAAGGCTTTCTTCTTCCTTCCAGCTCCAGCGCACGGTGACGGTGATCGCGGGATCTGGACTGGACTGCTCCGCCAAGCCTGGAGCCCTGGATTGCAGGTTAATTCGACCTCTTTTCTTCTGCCGCGTAGGATTTCTTTTTTTCCCCTTCGTGTGCATTCGTGGTTAGCAGGCTTGTTTTGTTGCAGTTCTTTAGCTCAAGAAGGTCTGGACTCTGGAGGACATTTCTGGGATTTCCCTACTGGAAGGTACAATATATATTACTCTTGCCGCAAATTGTATATCTCAAGTAGTAGTGACCACTCGAGTAAAAACATATTTTTTGAGGCGTACCGAGTAAAAATATTTTGTTAGAATCGGTGTAGAGGATATACTCCCTCCGTTCTGAATTACTTGTCGCACGTATGGATGTATCTAGATGTATTTTAGTTCTAGATACATCTATTTCAGCGACGAGTAATTTGGAACGGAGGGAGTAGAAGCTGGAAGATGAAAAATTCTTGCCAGGGCTGCAAGAGATACTGGAACCATCTACATGGGAAGGTCACTCGTTTCGTCAGGCGGGTGAGCAAAAGTTCAAGACATTGCATGGTAATGTGCTCTGTTCCAAGTAATATGACATTGTAGTGCCTCTTTGTTTGGATCAAAGGCATATTGCCCTTCTTTATGCAAAGCAAATAATTCCTGTCGAAAAAAAATATACAAGGCAAATAATCATCTTTAACTTGTCATCTCCTAGTTTTAGCGGTTGGTGACTATTATGCCTTATTCATCTCCATCAATTTTAGGGAAATGTACTACTCCATTTAAACTAATACTACTCCTTTAAAAATTACATCTGTTGCTGCAGGTCATACCAGAGAGGTTTGCAAACCATTTCGCAGGGAAAATGTCACGGACCGTCAAACTAGAAGGCCCTAATGGTATTCTGCATGATGTTGGAGTTACTGAGCACAGGAATAGAAAAGTCCTCCAATCTGGATGGGAGGTGTTTGTTGATGCCAATGACATAGTAGAGAAAGACTCGTTGATGTTCCGATACCGTGGAAGTTCTCGCTTCAAGGTTGTGGTCTTTGATTCTAGTGGTTGTGAGAAAACGGTGTCCTGTTTTGGCATAGGGAGCACTATGAGTGATCAAGAACCAATCGCAAATTCTACAGAAATGTCAGGTAGTTCCAGCGATCGTTATACTCACTCGTCAATGGGTCAGCAATCAGATGGATGCCAAAGTGAAAGCTCAGGACATTGTAGAAAACTGGCATGGACAGACGCAGCATCGTCTCCATCTGAGGATTTGCCAGGTTAGCTTGCCAGCTTGCTTGCTTGTACCTTTAAGCTTGCCAGCTTGCTTGTACCTTTAAGTTGCTTGTACCTTTAAGCATCGTCTCCATCTGAGGATTTGCCAGGTTATGCTTTAAGTTGCCATTTTATCTGCAGTTGCATTTACTCTTGAAAACTGTTATACAGGAGAAGACAGTCCTTATGAGCACGAGTCTTCTGGATCGGATGATCACACACTCCCAAAGATGATCTTAACAGTGCGTGTTAAGGAGGAACAATATTCTGATGGTATGGTAGTATGATGCAAGTACTTCTGATCCAATTCATATTTTTTTTGTAGTTCATGTGAAAATCTGTTTCTATGTACTGAATTGTCAGCAAGTGGAAGATCAGACGGATGCCAAAAAGGGAGCTCCAGTCATAGTGGGAGTACTAGAAAGACAGCTGTTATATCCACTCCATCTGCGGAGTCAGGTTATATTCTTAAGTTACATTTGCGTCAACAAAATTGCATCGATTCATTTTATTTGTTAAGTACATGCACACATGCGTTACCGTGTCAGTGTATACATTATCCATTGTTTGTTTGACCTACAAATTTGTCTAGGAGAAGCTTGTCTTTCAGAGTATGATTCTTTTGACTCGAATGATATTCCAGGACCTCCAAAAGATAAGTATGTGCTGTCAAGTAGGAGTAATTTGGCTGATGCACAAAAAGAGAAAATAGATAAGCTTCTCCAGGACATTCAATCCAGAACTCTTGCATTCGTGGCTATCATGAGGAAGTCCAATGTCCAACCACCGTATCCTTCTCTGGTAAATTTCCCGAGTTCTTTTTCAGCACACTACAATCCTCTCTAGGCTCTAGATCTAAGAGGGGTATTCATAGTTTGAATGTTATAGGGAAAGCGGCAATTGCCCTTCTGAACACTTAATATAAATGCTTTTTCTTTGTCGACAATAACAGTCGAAACAGTATTTGGGCTGAGTTATGTATTCTTGTTTTTTTGTTTGTTTGTTGATGGCATCACACCCTGTCCCATTTGTGATCAGACCATCATGAAGGAATACGCAGTTGCACACTTTCCCCATGAAAGTGCATCTGTCATACTTCAGAGGCCGGGCGAGAACAAAAGGTGGTACCCCAGGTTCTACGAGGGGAATGATGGTATTCACAAGATTAGGGGGGAGTGGTTAGACTTTGTTTGTGACAATAGTGTGGAGGAGGGAGATATCTGCATCTTTGTACCAGCAAAGGGTGGGGGAAGGTTCACATTTACCGTTCATCTACTTCGCCCAGAAAGCAAGGCGCACGCAGGTCATTTTGTGCCGCCCTACATGCTGTCACAAATGAGCTTTCTATCTCCATTGCAACAGAGCATAGTTGAAGATAAAGCGGAAGCCATCCAACTCGAAGCACATCTGTATGTGGCAATCATGAACAAAACCAATGTTGGTGTGAAAGGGCATTACATCCTGGTAAGCTAAAAAATTTCTGGAATTTTACTGTTACCTAGTCAAAGCCCCCCAAGTTGTTGTCATCTGCCATAACATAACTAGGTTTCAAATAAATAAAAAACATAATTAACTTTAGCAATGTAGGGTGCCAAGGACTACATGGGCTTTGGATCTCCAATTTACTGTGCTATTAGCAAACTGTTTGGCTTAAATTTACTTTTGCAGCTGAATTAAATAAATGCCACCAGATAACTGTGTGTACCTATATTGTATTGTTGTTTTATTTTATCAACATGATTGGTCGACTTGTAATTGCAACATGCTTATATCTGTAAAATACTAGGAGTTTGGTGCCAAATATGCTGCTGTGTATCTTCCAAAGGAAGAGCGAACTATTTTGCTCCAGCGTAACGGAAAGGAATGGCAAACCCAGATGCATATTCGGAATGGTAGGAGATGTGTCCTTGAAGGAGGTTGGCGCAAATTTGTCATTGACAACCGCCTGCGAGTTGGTGATATCTGTCTGTTTGAGCTGAAGCGGAACCGGAGGAAGCTTACCATGATTGTCCATATAATTTCCCGTGATCAGTGTTAGTTTGTAGTACTTTGAAGTACAAGGGGATGATGACCCCTGCTGTTTCTACTGGAACTATGTTTTGTACTCTAAAACCAAACCATGGTATGGTTGATCTCCGAGGACTACTGCATATGATGGCTAACACTCTGAATTTCCACAAGTCCTAGTCCAAGTGTTGTTTTAGCTTCGTGTAAACTATGACTTGTATTTTTGCACTGTGTTCGTTTCTGAAGCAAGTTTAGCTCTTTCCTCTACCTGGGAAAATCTGTTCGGATCTACTCTTTGTTTTACACGAACGCTGCGAGGCCCACGTCCCCCGCGTCGTCCCGTGCGGGCGACACGGGCGATCGTGATTCCTACCGCCGCCGCAACAAAAAAAAGCGATCCTCCTCTCCGCCGTTGCTGGAGGAAGCTGCTGCGGCCGACGGCGGCGAACCTTGCTCACGTCGTGGGGGTGTCCTCGGTCACAGCGGAGTCTCCTTCACGAAGGCGGCGACGACGATGTTTTGGGCGGTTGCTTGGTTCCGGCAGGTTGGGCCGGTGGCCTGCCTCCTCGTCTGCGCGCCGTTCTGATGCCGCTCGAGCGCGACGCTGGAGTGCGAGCGGGCCGGCCACTGCCGTTTCCGTCAGATCTGGCGCCTGGAGCCGCGGGCTGTGGTCTGTGGACAGCGTGGGCCGGTGTCCTCCGCCGTGACGTTGATGGCGTCGGCTTGGTGGAGGTAGCGGTGTGGTGGCGGCCTTGTGCTCTTATCGCATCACGACAACTTTCTGCTTGATCGGTCGTCCTCGATCTGGCCGTTGACGTGTTCGAGAACTACTGCCGGAGATCTTGCCCGAGGATTCTGCATAGGACAGTATCCGGTCGTTTGTGTCCACATCAGCCTACGTGGCGTGACGCGAAGCTCTGCCATTTGTTTACATTATGGGACATGTCGGCATTTCGATTTCCATGGCACAAACAACGACGGAGAAAGTCTTGATGTTGAGATCGGAGAATCAGTATGACGGGGGGCGGGAGGCTTGAAGGCGATGGAGTCAACCAAGTGTTTGATAACTTTCAGTAGCAACAGTGCCAAATGGGGGCGACAACAATGGAGGATTTCATTTTTTTTTGTGGTGCTTCTCGGGTGTCGAGTCGTGACTTCCAGGGTGAAAACCAAAGGTCTGGCCTTCAGTGGTTGTGCCTGTCAATTGCCTTGTTGAAGGTATTGCTTTGAGAGCTCGGTCTTTCTCCAGGGTGAAAACTTATGATTTTGGATCGGGCGACGACGGCGCTTGTGCACTGTTTTCTTCTTGAAGGCGTCGCTTTTGGAGATCCTTTATGTTTTTCTGGTGTTGTCTTTGGTGGTGGTTCGTGTGCTGCTGTTGTGAGGAGTTGATCACTGTGGTGAGGTCTTTTTTCACTTCTTTTTTGTTTTCTTTTTAGGTTGTGTGCATCCTGAATGTCTTTGTGATTTCTTGTTGGTGCAGAGGCTGGATGTAATTGGTATCTGCATGATATTAATATATTCCCTTTTCAAAAATAAACTCTAGCATAGTCGTCATATCAGGCCGATCGGCATAATAAATATATTGAAAAGGCCACTTTAGTAATGTCGTCATCAACCCCGAGTCGCCATAGTTTATGAAGGGGCGCTCCATATCCATCCTGCGCGCCGGAATCGCTCATGCAGGAGGAAAGTTCACCTTCCATGTCTGCACGGCCCATCTTCTCTCCCTATCAATGGTAGATGGCCATGGCACTGCAGATCTCAATTAAAGCAACTCAAACTGGCCGACCCAAACGGACATATATTTTGTCTACTTTTTATCCATTTGGGTTGGTTTAGCGGGCATTTTTATCCACCTTTTACTTTGGATCGGTATGTGCGCCCAACGCGAGCATGCCTTTGAGCGGACATAGCATTTCCTTTGAAAAAGAAAAAACCTGAACTGCCGGGGCTTCGTCGGCGGAGACGACCGGCACCTGCATGCCTCCGCATGCGGGGACGAGCGCCGCCGTGGGGGAGCTCCTGCGCCTGGTCCGCCCGCCGGTCGTCTGGGTGGTGGTGGAGCCGCCGACCGAGGAGAACTTCACGCCGCCGCTGCCGACGCCCATCAATGGTGCGTAGGATACCTGGGTTGCTAATGTGATTGTTGTTGTCGTCGTATTCTTGGAAGAGCAGAAGGCGGGCGGCCATGGCGACGCCAAAGGGATTACTTGTCACAAAAAGGATGTATCTACAACTAAAATACATTTAGATACATTTATTTCTTGGACGAGTAATTTCGAACGGAGGGAGTACTAGTTAATACAATACAGATCCAGTAATAGTAATAATCTGTGATAGTCTAGACATGAATTGTAAAATACTTCCTTCGGTCCTTTTTAGTCTGCATATAAATTTTGTTCGAAGTCAAAGTATATCTATTTTGGTCAAACTTATAGAAAAAAATTATTAGCATTCACAATGCCATGAATATTTCTAGATTTATTATGAAATGGAGTTTCATAGTATATAGTATATATATTTAGTATTGTAGATGTTGATATTTTTTAATATAAATTTGATCAAACTTTTCAATGTTTAACAGAAATCTAATATGCGAAGTAAAAAGAAACGGGGGAGTATGACAAACAGTACCTTCGATCTAGCGTGTGTCATGTTGTGCCGCCTTGAATGTCAAATCTGAAGCGCTTGATAAGCAATTAAAAAGGACCGGACATTGACGCATAGGCAGGCCACAGGGCCGTTGGTCGACGAGGGGAGACGGTCGAATCACCTAAGATAATAGTGGGAGTAATCCAGCCTCCTTGGATTTTAGCGATTCTGGACCGTTCGATCTGGTTCCTGATGCGGTTTTGGCTGTCCGATCTCGCTTTGGGACGAGCTTGACCGTCGGATAAAAAATGGGCACTGTAGATCGAAATAGTGTCGAAACAGCCGTGCCACCGCAAGTAAATTCGATGCCCCACCGAGGGCATTCTCATCATTTCGCACACATCCATATAAAAGCAGCACGCCCGTGGTGAAAACCCTAGCCGCCTCCTCCCTCGTTCGCTTACGCTTCTCCCGCAGCCGCCTCCCTCCCTCCCTCCCTCCCACGCAGCCGCCTCCCTCCCTCACTCGCTCCTCATCCGGCGACGGCGGCAGCGGTCACAGAGGAGGGCAGCGGATCAGCGGCGCCGGCGATGGCGCCCGTGGCGGCGGTGGACGACGCGGCCGCGACGCTGCGTTCGGTGATGTTGCGCGCGCAGCAGGCGGCGGCGCGGTCGAGGCGGGTGCCGGGGCCCTCGCGCACTGCCGCTGCTCTCCCCCTCAAGGTTTCCCCTCTAACCGGAGCTCCTCCTGATCCGTCGACTGGCGCTCTTCCCCACCGCGGCAACGCTCGTGCTGCTGCTCTCCGTCGAGCTCGCGTGTGCGGCGCATCTGATGGCCAACACAGCCATCATCGTTGCCTGCCTTCCTTGACGCGACGGTGCGGCCTCGCCTCGTCCTCGCTTCTCCTCCGGCGCCTCCTCCCCGTCGGCTCCCTCTCTGGAGCCATAGGTCACCGCCTCCCGTGCGTGCCGTCTCTTGCAAGCCCGTCGCCTCCCCCTCGACCGGCGGCTGCGCCGACCGTGACGAGCAGCCCATCCCGCCCCTCCTCCAGGAACTAGCAGTAAGCCGCTGATTCTCCTCTGGCTCTTCGTATCTACATTTAGTTAAATTTTTGATGAAGTCTGTGGATTCGAAGAGGTTCTGATTGTGTTGTTCTGTTAGCAGTAAAGGAAAATCTAAATGGTTAATGTAGACAATTGTGTATGTGGCTTTGCTTCAAACAGAATAAGGCAAGCAGATAATTA